TAATATGTCGTTATGAAAAAACAACAACCATTTTCTCAAGATAACGAGTTAATCATGTCATTATCATGAGATAATGAGGAGCGTTTTCTCGAGATGATGAGTTACAGTTTTACTTGTTTATCATTCAGTAACCATGGAGCTGGCCCGATCCCCTCAGCTGGTGACAGATAAAGTTTATTATATCAATAAGATCAGTGTGCAAACGCCTGCTGACCTCCAGTCGGGCTTTCCTTAAATGACGAGGGCTGATATGAAAGTTATCTGTACATGACAAACAAATCACAATTTCAGCCTGATGCTACAGAGTAACACAAAGTTATGAACAATTAATAAGCTGCCTTCAGGCCCAGGATGAACGGTCGGTCGGTAGGTCGGTCGGTCGGTTGGTCGGTCGGTCGGTCGGTCGGTAGGTAGGTAGGTAGGTGAAACCATCTGGAAATGAACTCATTATTATGAGAAAACAGTCATTGTTATCTCATGATAACGACATAATTAACTTATCACGGCATAACGAAAGAAATATGTCGTTATCTCGAGAAAACCATGGGAAAAATTGCTTGCGGGAAACGGCCACTCAGGTTTTGTAAAGAACACCAAACACATTTATTATAATCCAAAGACAATTTTAAGCAYTGTTGACAAAATTCTACCCAAATTTTTGTATTTTTTTTACCTGAATATTAGCCAATAGACTATTAAACTGTGAGAGGTAAACCAGAGAAAGCCCTGTGGTGTCGTTAATCTTTTATGTCCTTTTGACATAATTAACTTGGACATTTAAACATCTGACTGTATCTTTAATCAGATGTGATTTCAAGCTCTTTGATTTTCCTGGAATGTTTAACCCCATCTGTTGTGTCACTCCAAAACAACCAAACCACTGACATCTTTCATTGTTCTGYCAGTGCCATCCATTATATAATGCTTTAGTCCTTTGTGTTGAGACATCCCTGCCCTGTATAATTGCAGTGACCTAAAATACTTCACCATCTTTCAGTTCAATATGCAAATCTGGATTAGGTGTGTTGGAATGTGTTCTTCTGTTGTTGTTRAGGGCAGCTTTTATGACACTTTGTTACAGCTGTATTAAATAACAGGGATTAATTAATAAACACCAAACAACTCCTTAATTTTTTCGATGAAGATAATTCTGTATTCCATCCTAATAAATCTCTGGTTTACATTGTCTCCTTCCAGTCTTTCTGTGTAAAGTTTMCATGTTCTCCCCCTACACAAAGATATTTTACATTTTACTGAATGAATCCAGTCTGTACTGAGATCACAGACGTCCCAACTGTCTGACTGAACTGCTGCAGTCAGCTCTGATGGACAAAATGAAGACATGAGAACAATGTGGGGTTCAGGATCCATTGGTTCCTAAAGACRGGGTCAGGTTAGGGTGACTTTGGTTCCCAAAGTTGGGCTTTGACCCAATTATGGGTCATGAAGCACCTTGGATAATCTCCAGAAATCAGTTTAAAGGGTAATAAAATAATTGCTGATGTAATATTTTCCCTATAAC